GGCTGTCGACAGGGTCTAGCTAGCCAACCAGCCCAGCCCAGCATCCAGCCTAGCACCCAGCACTGGCCCCTCTCAGATGCTAGATGGTTAGATGTCGGGGAGCTGCATGGCGTCAGCACCAAGTATCCGGGTATGGAGTACGGCGCACAGGACGGAGCACGGAGTACTTTGGTGCGAGGTCGATGGCGGAGGTGAGGGGTCCGATGATGTAACCGGCCAAGGGATCAATCAATTACTTCACCGACGTTGAAGCCTAGCAGCACCTGGGGCGCCGCCGTGGTTAACATCGGGAAGCCCCTGCGTGTTGGCAGCGAGCGCAGTCTGTTGTCGTCTCAGTGTCGTCCGCAAGGCCCGAGCACCAGAGGACCGTACACTACATACATAACTAGGTATGTACGACGATCTAGAAAGGAAAAAAAAAAAAAAAGTCTGGTCAATTCACTTTTTGATATCGCCAGTTGGCTCGTTGGTTGGCCCCTGCCAACTTGGCGCATGTGCATGTTAACATCTGCATGCGCCGCGCCGCCACCAGAGGGCGGGCCACGTCCAGAAGGTCTCACAGCCGAGAGACCCTCAAACTGCTCCAGCGCTGTCAATGCTTCCTTCGATTGGGTGCAGTCGGCCCCAGATGGCTTTGAGATGGCGTCAAACAGGCGCAATGTCTACTGCTGCTGCCGGCCGGAGCAAGTGGTCAAGTGCAGCTTGCGCAAATGCATCTCCAGAGCTGTTTGTTGCGGGCGATATAGACGCACAGACGCAGACCAGACGACGTCACCTCGTCTTGGTCTGAAGTGAAGCCCCGAGACTCGATCGACGCCGTGCATTTGACGTTTTATGTCGATGCTTGAGCTCGGCGACTCATATTCTTCTTGCCCACGCTCGCTCCCGTCGGTAACCCATGTCCGCATGCGCGGGAGCCCTCAGACCTGCCCTCAGCTTTTCTTGGCCCCCTCGCCAGAGGGTCATATATTTATATTTATTGACTCGAGTAGGCCCCAGACGTTCTCTGACCTTGTACGGTGACCAAGTGCTTAGAAGCCGCAGACGCCAGAGGACCAACAGGCAACATGAACTCTGCCGCACCCTTGACCGTGAATCAGATGGATATTTCTACGTGTCCGTCATCCCGTCACCTCTCACCCATCTCTCCAAGCCAACAAGACATCGGACGCACGCCTTCCTGTCTGCCCGTGTTAAACCCAAACCACATCACCCATTAGCCACCAGCCATCCCACCCCCACATATCCAAAATCGCTCGTCTCCCCCCAGCTGTCAAACTGGTCTTTCTCTCTCTCTCCGCCTCCCTCATCATTTTATTCCTTCTTCTCGCCGTTCCTCTCTCCAACCCCCGGGCCATCGCCTGTCTTGTGTGCGCGCCTCTTCATCCAGTGCGCCCCCCGGCTGCTGCATCCGGCCCATTTATTCTCGCGATATTGAACCCGAGTAGCCACGCCATACATACTCCGGACTCTGTTCAACACACCAGACACAAAGACGCCTCACACAGCACACACGTCCTCGTCGTCCCGGCTACTGAACCCTGGTCCTATCTGCCTGCCCCTGCACCGCGCTAGGCATCTCGACAAGCATCCGGCCGTCTGCCACTAAAGCCGGACCTGACGAGGGTGAGAATCTATCCAGGCATCCCCCGTCATCATCTTGTCACTTTGGGGCCCAAGAGTCCGAAAGAAGAAGACAGTGACCCCAGGGCATCCAGGGCAGACCCGGGTCTCATCCAGGTCTCACCCAGGTCTCACCCATTCCGGGCTCTGACGTCGTGCACCAGAGCAACAAGAGCATTCCGTGCGAGCAGCTCTGATCTTTGCGCTCGTCTCTGGGCTTGGTAACTAGTTGCTCGCTCGTTCCCCGCGTCGCACTGCTGAGCCGGCCCGTTTTGCCCTTCCATTTGCTCACAGGGCGCGAACCTGCATCCGCCTCCGCTTCCGTCTCGATTCCCTCTTTGCTGTCTGCCTCTGCCCTATCTACCTGGTGCCTACTCCATACGGAGTACCTAGGTACCTATCCGTATACCTGCTCCGTATCCATCATTTTTATCCATCCATTGTCGACCTCCAGACTCCAGACTGCCGACGCTTTTCCCAGCTCGCCAAGCTCTGGTCAAGCGCCCCCAGGCCTTGGATTCCCGTGCCAGGTGTATTTGCCATATCATGTAGGTATCTCCCGTGCAATAACTACCGCATACATACATACGCCTCAACTGCCAGACACGTCATGGTGTGGACCAATGTTCCGTCTTGTTGGGTTCGTCTCGGAGAGATAGCCTTGGGCGCAGAGCCCCTTGAGACAAGCCAGATGGCCATGGCTCTGGCCTCTGGGCTCTAAACCGCGTGCCATTTTTATCCTCCATTATCATCAAACCACCCTCGAGCCACGAGCCTCGAGCTTTCCACCTTATCCACCCAAACTGCCACCCTTGCTGTCACTGCGCTCCTTGCCTCCGAACCCTCTTTGCCCTCGTCTCCCTTTCGTCTCCGTCGTCTCCCTCACCTCCCTCACCTCCCCCAACTCTTCCACCTACCAATGAATAGTGCCACCCACATGGTCCAACCGTTGTCCACCACCTTCCCCACTGGCGGCCCGCCGAGGCCAGCTCTCCATACTCATCCACTGACGTCCTTTGCAGAGACGCCGTTCTACCCACACTCGTCCACGGCACGCGGAAAGGATCCTCCTCGCAGAAATTTATTACTTTAGACAGCTGTGCCAGCTGGCTTCTTGCTGACCTGACTGATCTCTGACCCGACCCTCTTGTCCTCCGTCGATGCTAGCTCCTACGCCTACCTAATTCCACCACTACACTTGTCAGCCTTTGTCTGGACCTCCTCCCAGACTTGATCGACGAGAGGCAAACAACCTCAAGGGCGAATCTGAGCTCGGCTTTCAAACGGAACGACTCAGTGCCGCGCCTCGAGGCCGCTATAAATACTCGGAGCGGGCCAGGAAATACCTTGCGCCGGGTCGACGAACTAGCCCTGCGAACCATCCGAGCTACCATAATTGTGTGTCGCAACACTCGAGTCCTCGAAAATAAACATTGCCATCGTGCTATATCGTGGTCGTGTACTTTTTCCAGACTTCACCTAGGTCGCAGCTCAAGCTGTTGGGACCATATATATATCCAGACTGGCTGAGAAGGACTCGCCAGCCAGCACTGCCTCGATCTTCTTGCTCTCCACCTCGAATCGGAGAGCATCTCTACAAACGCAGCCGAAACATGTCACCCACTGAGGATAAGGTAGGTCGGATTTGAATCGAATGTATCAAAGCTTCTCCCGCTCAAGGACTTACACTGTGAACAGACTGGCGCGGACAGTTCCGCTGAGCTCAACTTTGGAGATGCTATCGATATGAACACTTTTGAACAGATTCTGGAAATGGACGACCCTGGAAGCGATGAATTCAGTTCGTCAATTGTCTTTGGCTTCTTCACCCAAGCACAAGAAACATTCGACAATATGGACACAGCTCTGTAAGTGATTTCAACCCCATGTTCCATGTTCGGGAGGGCGTGGCCCGCTGTCCTTGGGACTTACACGCGGTCCATACTGCCCTTGACCAGGAAATGCTGTACTTGAGTACGACAGAGAGCTGACCATATAAATTGCGCAAATAGAGCAGAGAAAGACTTGAAAACTTTATCGGAACTCGGTCACTTCCTCAAGGGCTCGTCTGCTACACTAGGGCTAGTGAAAGTCAGAGATGGCTGTGAGAAAATCCAGCGTTATGGAAAGAACGAGAATCTAGACGGATCTTCAGAACCCGACTCTGAGTTGTGTCTCAAGCGAATTACAGAAGCCCTAGGGACTGTCAAGGCAGACTATCAAGACGTCGAGAGGAGACTGAAGTCATACTATGACAAGGGTGAAGAGGCTTGAAATGACATTTGAAAGACTCTCTCCTAGTGCAGACTCAGCTGACACGCCCCCCTCCCCCTTTCCCAGCTCCAGATTCGGAGAAATAGTCGTCGAGGAGCTCAGACCCTGGCAAAAATTGCATGTCAAAGAAATTTGTGACAGTCATGACGGAGAGTCTTGTAATCAGAGGGCATGTGTTGGGCGTCTTGATACATTTTCCTTTTCTTTTCCTTTTTTTTTCGATACTTCTAGTTCTCTGGAGACGCACAGTATGTACCAGAGAAGGCCAAGGACTTTGCATTTCTTTACTGCGTGATTTGGGTTGGCATGAGGGCCAATTGTTTTACCGTAATTCAACTATGGTCAAAGGAAGGATTCCGTAGTTGATCATGGCACACAGTGGATGGATAGTAGGGAAAAGGATACCTGGTAGAGGGTTTTACGAAAAAGCTACACATTGAATACATGATGAATAATTCATGGACAACGCATCACGCTTTGCTGGGGTTCACACCCTCGAGACGAGCAAGGCTGGTGAGCGGTGTGCCAGGGTCTTATGCAAGAACAGGGCAGGGCGGTCCTTCGGTTGTGGGCGAGTGGGTGGAGCTCGCTCGACTGTAGTTGACATGGGATATGGGAACGATAACCTACTACTAGGTAGTTACTGTAGGTAGTACGGAGCAGTGGCCAGCCTACCTACCCTAGGTAGCTACATGTAACCATGGCTGGCCACTGTCGCATGCAAGCCTCAGTTTTACATTTTGAGCCTCGCTGACATCACTCAACCAACCTGTCTGCCCTTGCCTCTTTGCGTGCCATGCTCGGTGTCAAGTTCGCGGAGGAACAAGGTATAAACATTTCCTATTAATTGTCTTGGTGCATCATGTGATCTCATAGTCCGAGATGCCCGACGTGTCGGATGCTGCACTCTTGAGGCTCTGGCAAGCACTGCCATCTGTCCATTGATTGTACTGACTCGACTGCAGGATACATTCGACCCTCTGAAACCTGACAACAACTCGATCAATGATCGAACAGGATGTATCGAGTCTTTACATGAGAGGTGTCACTGTTAATTTACACCTACCCACCACCGCCCAGCAAGGCAGCGAGCAGACTGCGCGATGCCTCCGCGCCCCAGCCCCACGCATTTCCTGTGTCTTCAACTCGCCAGTTCGCAATTGACCAAGAATCTAGCAGCATTCCGGGCTGATGTCACGGGTGCCAGCGGCTTTGGCGTTCCTGATGACGCCGTTCGACCGCCGGGGACGCTGCATCTTACTCTGGGGGTGATGAGTCTGAAGCCAGAGGATGTTGGTCCGACAATCGAGGTGCTGAAAACGCTCAGGCCGAGGGACATGCTTGCTGAGCTGAGAGCTGCAAACAATCCTCTAGCGTCTACGACAGCCTCGCAATCCCGAAACACTGGTGGAGGGCTGTCTACATCTCTTCGTGGAATACAGTCCATGACCCATGCATCCAGGACATCTGTGCTCTACGCTGCCCCCTCAGATGCAGAGGGCATTCTGTACGACTTTTGCCAAGGGCTACGGAAACCATTTAGGGAAACGGGTCTAATAGAGGACGAGAACCGGCCTCTGTTGCTGCATGCTACGGTTGTTAATACGGTGTATGTCCGGGGGAGGGGGAGGGGGAGTGGAAGGAGGAAAGAGAAGCTGATGCTTGATGCAACTGATCTGATGAGAAAGTATGAAGATTACGTATGGGTTGAGGATATGCCGGTTAGCAGGGTGGCTGTTTGTAGAATGGGTGCGAGGAAGGTGGATGGGGATGAGGTTTATGAGGTCGAGGGTGAAATTGAGATATGAGGGTGAAGTGGAGTAAGAATTGTCTGTCGATTGTGGTTTCTTTGTTGTTCTGTCTGTCTGGTCATTCATGCCGGCTGTTCTTTTTTTCCCTCATTGAAAATGGGGCATGTTCTGAGTAGAATAGAAAGACGATATAAGTTATCAGACGAGGAAAGGGCAGCCGTGCATGTCGGTCAGTCTTGCCCCGCCGTCCCTTACGGCCTCGCTCACCTCCCCCACATTGTTTTGCAGTCGAAACACCAAGTTCCACCACCTCCATTGACTTCAGCCACTTTTACCTCAAAGTTCAATCTGTTAGCTTGCCCTGCCAGGCAACGACTTTCGGAGAGGCCTTTTCATTTCGATTTCGCCTTCCTCCCTTGAGTGACTTTCAACCATCGATACATCCGTCTATTGGACATCTCGTGACGCCCATCTAGGAGTATCTAGCAACAATGCGGTACCAGGCTCCTCGTGCATCTTATCCACCACCCCGTTAATCTAAACGAAATCTGATGACGCATGAAAACACGAGTCCACGAAGAACAGATAAACAACCGTCCCAGGGACAGTCACCGCCACACTTAACTTCAATGCAGACTCAAGAGAAGCCCCGCGGCAGCGGTCACGTACTGCGCGCCGGCTCCAGACACAACCACTCAACACCATCCACGTCAGGCAACGCCGCGTCCAGCAATCCAAACTCCACCGGCGGCGGCGGCGGCGGCGGCAGCAACAGCATGCCGGCGATGCCTCCCCGTGCAGCAATGGTCAACAACAACGCAGCCGTGTCCGAAGACGCCCACGAAACCGCACCTAGCAACGCCCCCAGCGGCGGCGGCGTACCCGTCACCGATAAGGACAAAGACGGCTCTTCTGGCCCCGCGAGGTCAGCATCCGTCAGATACTCCGCCTCGTCCTCCAAAGAGAGACAAAAGGAGCGCGACGTGGCGCTGGTGCGGGAAAAAGACGATCGTATAGCCTATCTTGAAAGGGAAATGGACATTATGGAGCGCGAGTTCCAGCGCGAACTGGATAAATTGAGCCAAAACGAGAGTGAAACGGCTACCTTTTGGCAGGCGAAGCATAGTGCTTTAAATCAGCAGTACTTGCGGACAGATACGGAGCTGCGGTTGTTACGGGCCGAGGTTGATGTGCGAGAGGCAGAGAGGGAGGAGTTGCGGCAGGGATGGGAGGTGTTGAGGAGGGAGCTGAAGGAACGGGACGACGAGATGAGAGGGCTGAGGAGCCAGATTCGAGGGTTGAAGGAGTTTGTGAGCACGAGCACAAGGACGGATGGGCAGACGAGCGATGAGGTGTTTGGGGATGGTATGGCACGGTTGGGGAACGGGCTGCAGAATTGGGTTATTACTAATTTCCGGAGGACAAAGCTGGGTAAGTTTGCTTCTCTTCGTCTCCGTTTCTTTTTATTTTTCCCTTACTTTCTCTCTTTCTTAGACTGCATGGCTTGCTGACATGGCATGGATCATGAAAGTCGACTTTGCCAAAGTGGACGAGGCAACGCTTGCTGAGCTAAGTGAACTCGTTCCCATGTACGAGGCACTTGCTCAAACGGTCAAGGTACACTTACTACAGTCGGTGGTGTCCAAAATCTTGGTAGAAATGGTCTTCGATACCTACTTCGTGGGCTTGTCGGGTGACCAGACGCGGTGCTTTCGCCAGATGGAGGAACTCTTGTCTTCCTTTTGTACGCCGTTTTGTCCGCGTGCGTGTCTTGGGTTTTTTGTTATTTGCGACTAACAACATACAGCAGCTACTGACGAGTCGGTGAATCAATGGCGAGCATCCACGCTTGCCCTTATTCGGCGCGACGCCCCTCAACTCCTGCAGTCTTCTACAACGGAATATGTCGAGAAGGTGATTTCTCGGATAAATCGTATATTGGACTCGATTACCGACAGCGGCGCGTCATCCGCGTCATCACGCTCGGAAGCACGAGACTCGGCGCTTCGCGTACTAGTGAATAATTCTGTCGAACTGGCAAGGCTACTGGCGGCTCAGAAGGCGGTGTTGCGGGTGTACATGCCAGAGGTGCTCCCCCACCAACAGGTCATGTTTGAGCCGGAAACAATGGAGGATCTGGGCGACGGGGACGAGGAAGCTCTTGCCAGAAGGGAGATTTGGTGTGTTGTGTTTCCGGGGGTGATTAAGCACGGGGACGAGAACGGGGGCCAGATGCAGTTTCGAAATGTTATTGCCAAAGCGAGGGTCCTGTGTAGTCCCGAGAATTGATAGGCCGAGGCGAGGTGAGTTTTACGGTACTGGCCCTTGGTAGGGTTTTTTTATTTCCTTTTTTTTTCCGGCATGGCGGAGAAGGCGTTGGGGTTCATAGCGATAGATTTTATTTACCCTCGGATATACTAAAGGCAAGGCAATTGGGTTCCCGTTCAGCTTGTGGAGTTTTCTACCGTGGACAAGGTTTGCTCTGTTGCTGTATTAAAGTTGTGCACACTGGCGTCTTGATGACTGCGGGGATAAAGGGCTGTTTGCAATATCCAGCAGCTTCTTTCCCAGCCGCCCAACCAGTCTGAGAACTAGAGTAGTTTGCGACATCAACGACAACATCTGCCATGTTTCCTTCGGTCAGTTATCTAGCTGCCCTCCAGTCAGTGGTTGACCCGCCAAAACGCACACATGGGCTTTCTTTCTGCCGAGAATGCAGGCAGGATATTGTGGTCCGACAAACTGCGATTTCAACAGAGACAAAAAAAAAAAAAAAGGAATAGGAAAAGGGGGGTTTTCAATTCTCTGCGGCCAAAGATGCCCAAAGGTGGTTATTACCCTCTAATGCGTGCCCTCTGTTCTTCTGCTCCAAGGAATCTCTGGAGCTGTGTTCGCCAACTCTTCAAGGCCGCACTTTGCCCATATTTGTACTTTGTTACAATTACACTAGTCTTTTCGGGCTGGTGTGTGCCCCAGGATGGCAAGGGGTCATCATTGCGGGGTGCTGAAGAGAAACAGGGATTTCTCGCCCAGGAACGTGATTTTCGTGTAGTTGTTCCAGCATCTTTTCTGAACTAGAGGGCCAGACTTGACGTGGTTGGGTGTACTCGAGACAGGGTCAGAGTGGACAAGGAGAGCCATGGTCAAAGGTTCTTAGCAGACCTATAAGGGACTACTCCTCCGGTAGTCTCTCACGAAAGAAACCCGAGCCACCATCAATGGGGATTCCTCGTAGGGTCCCAGGGCGAGGCTCTCCTCTCGGGCACCGCACTGAGCGTGCTCTGCTGCCCGGGTGTCATCTGGCCCGTGGCCAAATCGGGCGTGAGGGAACCGCTTGGTCGGGCCTCGGCCGACGCTCGAGCAGGCGGGCGGTTTGCCTCTTCTCCTTCTAGGACGCGGTCGACGTTGGAGCGCAGCTCGCTAGGTTCCTTGGCAGTCTTGGGCTTGGGGTCGGCGCCAACGCTGGGCAGCTTGAGAGCGTCGATGTGGCTCCGCTCAAAGGCCTTTGCGTAGGACAGGCGCGAGCCTGGCTGCGGCTGCGGCTGCGGCTCGGCGCGGCCAGATGGGCTTTGGTGTTGCAACTCTTGGTCGTGGTCGTGGTGGTCCTCCTTGGGGGTCGCGGCTGTGCGCGTGCGCTTGCGCTTCCACCACGCCATGATTCTGGGCCAAGGCACGCCTAGCCAGCCGAAGAAGACGACGGCTATGAGGGTGAGGATGACGATGACGGGGATGAGCACGGCGAGATTGGGGCCGTCGTAGTTGTCGCGCTTGTGGAGGCGGCGGTTGGTGGCTGGGACGGGCGGCGGCGGTGCCATCATCATCTGCTGCGTACGGTACTCGGCACTCGAGGACATGACCAGCCGAGTGGTTGTGTGTCCTTGGTGTTGGCCTTCGCACTAGTCTTGACAGCGGGCTCTCGACGGAGCATTGTGTTTTGAGCAGTACCCCGTAGCGCTCTGTCGACGAGAAGAGGCGTGTTGGGTATCGCGATGGGTTAATACAAGCAGGACGCAACATTTCGGCTCGGGCCCTTCTTGCCCGTCTTGTACGTACCTTCCCGGGTTGGCATGCAGATGCTTGGTCGGGATTGGCGTACAGCCGGCGCACAGCTGGCCGCACCAGCTGGCGTCCCGTCCGCCGGTCAAACTGGTGTTGCAAATAGACGACAAGCATCCTCGTATCGCATCACGCGCTCGTGACCTTCAGCCCACGTCGACTGGCCGGAATATTTGTCCCCTCCGCGGTCAATCTTCATTTGCTGGCACCTTTACGGGCTCCACACGCCATCGACAACACAACCTCACAATCTCTGGCAAAGTTTCTTTTTGACCAGCTGGACTAGACGCCGATACAACGCGAGCATATCATAGGCAACAGGGCGCCAATGGCCAGATCCCTTTTTATCTGGCAGGCTCGTCGACTCCGCACCGCACATAAGTTACATACACTAACTACAGCGCCGGATGAGACATCTCCATCGGCTCCACCGTGCCGAGTGCCGAATCGTGGAGTCGTCCCCGTACCACCGATGGGTCGCTTTTCCTCTTCTTTTCTGAAAAGAATGCATCATTGTGGGTCTTTCCGACAGCAAGTTTCCAAAGCCAACTTCCAAACTCAATGTCAAGCCTTTAACGCTACTAGCGCTCGCGTCATACTCTAGACATTCAACAGAGTGTCCTCTGCTATCGTCCACAACCAAACCAGCAGCATAATGTGGGTTGATGTTAGCGTGAGCCGCCCGGGAAAACATCACCTGCACGTGAGCAAGACAACAGTCCTCTAGCCAAGTCAAATACCCCATATCAAGTTCGAGCAAACTTCCTAATCGCGGCTACGGAGTGCGGCCGGTTATATATACATATATTCGCAAATGTGTAATTTGCCCAAGGAAATTGGCTCCATGGCAATCATCAACCCAAATAAGACTCTCGGAAAGCGCCTCTTGGCTCCAGAAACAGGGTTCGAGAATTCGCCGCTCTCGCAAGTGCGACAGCAACCTTGAAGCGGATTGCGACTGCAGAGTAGAACATAGGGTTGAGCCGCCAATAGAACGAGGATAACCCAACCAAACCTCTCGCCAAACTTCTTGATGTCTGATTTGACGAAATTGATGCCGAGAATCTCATCCACGGCGCGTGCAGCGGGGCCACTGTCTCGAGAGTAGGGGTGCCCGCCGCCCGGGGTGCTGCTTGAGCCTCATCTCTCCGGGTCTGCGTGGTCCCCCTCATACCTCTCTCCCCGCTCTCGACTCAACCAGGCAGCTTTTGAACTTGCGCCGTGGCAGCTCTTTGCTTGTCAGCCAGCCAAGCCCAATCACAGTCTGCCCGAGCCCGGAACCCTTGCCAATGCGACATCGCTGTTCAGAAATCACTTCTACTACTTCATGGCCAAGCTCAATCTGCCCCAAAATCGATTTAGGCCCTTGACTCTCCACAGCGGCTTCTGGAGACGGCTGTGGCGTTGGCGGCCCCGAGATGGCCTTGGTGTGTTGTTCAACAGCCTTTGTTGTTTTCCAATATCTGGCGCACTGGCCACCCTCCACTCTCACAAAAACTTGACATGACATTCATAAATCTGTTTGAAAACAGGCGCCGCATGGCACCAAGCTGGTAGATTCGGTGTGAGCTTACCCTGCAATTCGCCATTTTCCTATTCCTGAGCATGGGATGAAATGTTGGTCGCACAGACATCACACCGAGGCTACGAAGCCATTGTGGTAGAGCAAACATGATATGTCTTCTGTGACACAACCTTGTTCCGAATAGCACACGTTTCTGTGTGAAAGCTTGATTTGAAAGCCGTAGGAGATGCTTCCTGTGCGTGCTCATGGCATTTGGGGCGGATAGCCGGTTGACTGCGACGAAAGCGCATGGTCGTCGATTCAGTGTATGCCTCCTCCGATATCGCCACAAGGACCTCATTTCTGTAAAACGCCGGATTCGTCTTTTTCGTCTCCCAAAGCGGTACTCTCTCCACAGGGAGACGAGCTTCAGACCATTGTATGTACTTGGGCAAGAGAATGGCCAAAGGTGGGTGAGAAAAGCCGGCAAAGCCCCCACCACATACCATCCAGGCTTGCCGCTGGGGGCTTTTTTCTTTGCGTTGTTCAACCCTCACAGATTGAGTCGAGAGATTCGTGTCTGGCAGGTCCTCTTGGACCATTCGTATTGCTCAGATTCTGTGAGCTAGGACGGTCCAAACGGTCGATCTGCCAAAAAGAAAAAGCTCCGCCGTCTCTGGTAACCCTGGCCTCTGGTCTAGACTGATCGGCAGGAGCACCTGCGCGCACCAACATATAGCGGTGGACCTAGGAAGGTCAATCATCCCGCACCAAATCATCAACGAAGCCCAAGCACACATCTGTCTACACATCCGCGGCTTGTTATTTCATTTCAAAGAGAACCGTCAGGAGCAGAGGAATTCTGAGCTGTGAAATATATTGGTTCTCCATTCTGCTCAACTTGAGTCCTACTCCGGGTAAGACTTTGGTTTGTATCCGACACCCCGCTCTTTGTCATCGCCGGACAGCTGGGGCGACAGCCGAAGTCCACATCATGGCCTTCGATCCAGGAGAGATTGACGAACTAGTGGGTCGAGTACAAAGGAGTCGCGATACCCATCAGTTTCTCGGCCTTGGCCATGATGGCGGACATTACTATGCCCAGGCGCTATACATTGAGGAACCAAGACCGCTGGGGGAGGCCCACACCGAACGTACTCCATCGTTGGCAACCAGTGCGACGCGAATGAGCCCAGCTTTTGACGCATTTGATCGTTCATCAGTACATACCCGCTCCACGGCCCCTCCAAGATATGGTCCAGAGAGGGTAGGACGTCACCGTCCCGCGGTGCCGGATACCATTCCGACTCTTTTACCGTGCGAATTCCAGAACTTCTCTGGCTGCAGTGCAGTCTTCTTCTCGAACAAAGTAAACTTATGGATCGACCACATAATAGACGAGCATCTGCACGGGTGCTGTCCTGAGTTCAGTATTTGCTGGTTTTGCGACAGCGGCAAGTTCGGGTCTCCTTCGAATCAAGAAGAAGAGAAAAAACGGTGTTTTCGCCAGAGACTGTACCATATTGCTCGCCATTTTGATAGTGGAATGACAGCAGCAGATATTCGACCAGACTTTTACTTCCTTGATCATATATACGAGAAGAGCTTGATTGATGAAACGACATTTGAACAGACCAGGTCGCAAGGAGAGTTTCCGAACGGTCATTTACCGCACCGCCTCCATTTCAGGGCCCGGCAACAACCCGTCGCAGGTCAACCCGTCGAAGGCGTTAACGAAACTGACGGGACACCATGGTGGCAAACGCCGTCAAGGTGATTGATTCGCTCCCAGCAGTGCCGTACCGCACTCATTCGATCAATTATGCTGTTTCTTCATTTTTTGACTCCTTGCCACTTCAAGTGGCTTAGGGATATGTCGCTCGCTTGTAGGCAGCGCGTGATAGCATCGGATGTGGTTGCTCTTTTCGGCCGGGCGACAGGCGGACTGGACTCCGGACCTCCCCCACCTTGTTCGCCTAGCTTGACGGCGGCAGACCCGGCCGAATCTTGGATCGGTGGTGTCGAAGCCTATGTGGATGGAAGGCCATGGTTATTTGTTGCAAATTCTCCACTGACGGCTGATGGCGAGTCGGGTAGGCCTGAAACCCGTCAAATCTGGGGGCAAAAGTGAGGCTTGCAAACAAGTCTAGGCAGGGCTGACTGACTCCATGGATCGGTTGACTGGGACTTTCGAGAGACGGCCTTAGCTATCGTCGACTTTTCCGCAACTCGTTATTTGATCTTGGCCATTTGATTCTTCCGAGCTTGGGACTTCGGCTCATATGATCTGGCGGCACTGCCCGACAAACAGAAGACCACGGCGGTTAGACTCTCCTGGCACTGGACGGCAAGCGCATAAGCAAGCATAACGAGTGGTGTATTGCTCGGTTCATCCTGACGGCAGCTGGTTGAGTCGGTGAGGAAGAATGAAATATTTTCAGTTTCCTGGCGTCGTTTCTTTTACCTGTGTCTTGGAAAGAGCACATGACCTTCATTTTTGTTTCGACGGGAATGGGGGCTTGGCTCGAAGAGCTGGGAAAGGGCGAAGCGGTCAAGTAGATTGTGCAGGCAGGCGCGGCCGCCGAGAGTCTAGTTGCCAAGTAAGCGGGGATCGGGTTTCTCACGATACTCCAGATTGTTTGTTTGTATCTTAGCATTGATGCTAGCCATACGTTCTAACAGGTGATGATGTTGTCTTTTGGATCGAATGGCCGTGCTGTTCCTTTTCCGTTGCGTGGGAGTCTCTGTGTTTCAGGGGCGAGGCGTTTTGAGGGAAAAGCCTGGTCACATCGACAGCCGTGACACGAGTCGCCTCACTCTGTGGGCGTAAGACAATTGCCACACACAAACTTCCAATTCGATCACGGCCCCCTGCAATTAACAGGCTACTGGGCAGGCAACCATTTCGATTAGTATCCCTGCTGCACGCAGTACACGCGAGAACATTGACACCATTGGTCGTGGTGGCCTTGTTCGGCTCGGTGGCGACGGGGCCACGGCATGGCGAAAATGCTAATGACGCCGAAGAATGTCAACGTCAAACCAAGTCAGCATGCGCCCGTCAATATTCCAGGGCAGACAAGGCCACGATGGATTTTGGTTTCCTGCCTTTTTTTTTTTCCTAATCAGAAGCTCGTCACCAATCAACGGCGTTTTGCCATATTTGCCGACTCACCTGCTCTAACAGGATTCCTACCCGACGATACCACACATCGTACCAGCTTTTTCAGCATAGTAGCACTTGATTTGATTTTGGCCAGTGTGTCTCTTCAGGTTTGAAGGAAATGATGCCACAGAAACCCAGTTTGGTCAGACTTGCATGCCCTGGCACAACGAGGATCCCTGTCAAAATATACCATGCACCCTAGTCTACACAAGCTGGCATGGGCGATATTAACTGAGTTCTTCCACGAAGCAATTGAAAATCTGCCATGAGACCCTTTACACAAGTCCCTAGACATTGCCCATATTCTACCCAATTGGCAAATCGCCCTACGAACAGGATATTTGTCAGACATGAAGCTACAAGGCCTCAGGGGTCAGCAAGAGTGGTTATTTCCACGTATGGGAGGGATGCAGAGAGGTGCTTCGTTTCTTTTCAGGCCGTCCTTCAACGAGAACATTCGAAGGCTCACAATCCTGATAATCCAGCTCTCATTTCACCGAAACTAGTCTCTGGACCAGCGCTCTTGCAAGTTCCTAATCGACAGTTCGACACGTCCCCAGTAGGACTTATGCTACTTCATGTATGACACAAAAGAAACTAACATAAGTCAATGAGCATGCTTATCGTCCCATTGAGGGGTATTATTATTATTAAAAGTTACCCTAGAGCTAATATAAGCTATTCTAGTACTCCTATAACTAATTCGAGCGGAGCATTGAGGGGTATTTCTGAATGCATTGTCCCTACAACACACTTTGTGCCCTCTTCACATTAAATTCCGCCACCCTCTGCCTCCGCAATCTTCTTGAGCTCGTCCGTGGACGATGGCACATCAGCATGGGAGCCTGTGTCCCTCTTTTCTTGAGTCCAAGCAGTGATGCATCAATCCATCTATACCTTGCTTCATACCTAACCCATCGTTCTAAGCCGGGTATATGAATTCCCAAACTAGGGAGTGCAAGTAATGTCAAAGTCGGAGTAGTCCAGTCCTCTGCTTTTGTTGCTTCAACACTATATAGCGCGGGTAAGGAGTATCGGATCTTCCCTGGAGCGTAATACTTCAGAATCTGCTCTAGCCGTGCACGCTGCTTCGGTGGTAGTGCTTTCCGGAAAGGTTTTGCGTGGTGTGGTAGGAGAGGCAGGATGTGGAATCTTGCCGGCACACAGGCACTCACTCGGATCCAGTATCGTCCATCCCACAGCTTGGCGGTTTTCCAGGTGCGCCAGTGACAGTGGCGAGAAGGTTGATCGTGTGTTTCACCGACAAAGGAGGTGATGCGATAATTGAGATAGCCGGGGAGTTTTCGCTCTGGTAACGGTTTCATGGATGAATAGGGAGCTCGCGATAGGAACCATTTGGTTGATGCGGGACCGACGATGGGTTCAAAGACGACGCCGGCGATAGTGAATGCCTTTGGTAGCGATACATCTGGCTGAAAAGCAAGCTCTGGAAAGAGTCGATCAATGACATTGTCTAGGTTCGCTAACGGAGGGACACTGATGTCCGGGGTGACGAATTCCACCAGTTTGCGGATAGCTATGGCTGCTATGAGTCGCTGATGGGGTTTGCGAGCCTCTTCTCTTGGCTTAGCAAAGAGACGCCGCCAATGTGCGTCATTGGACCTGAACGATGCAAGTTCAATAAGTAGCGTGCCAGCGTTAGGGTCGAAATCCTGTATGACAGCTTCACGCATCAACCAGCGTCGCGCCTCAGCTTCTTCCAGCCTTGTACGACGCTTTGCTTCTCGCGACATGTCGAGGATTGCTTCCTTGCGGAGTTCAGGTGCAAGTAGACTATGATCCATGTGTCGAATGGCATTTCTCGGGGTGAGAGTCGGATCAGCATTTGTTGGGTCTTCGAACCATTTGATCTTGTTGGCCTCACAAGTGGCAATGAGCCTATCTTTATCAAACTCCAGGAGCGGTCGGTATACCATGATGCCACCGTCTTCGCAGTTTAACGGAGTCAAGTACGGCACACGCGAGTCTACATCGCGTATTATGTGACCTGGAAAGTGGACTGACAAATCATTAATACCAAGATAGTGCTTCAGTCGGTCCCAAGGCTCGATTTCCCAATCATCCTTCATCATCCACCTCAGGCGCTTCATTTCCTTGTTGGGGGGTTTGAAGCTTAAATATGGATGTTGGGCCGACTGATCATCCAACAGGCCGCTCTTGTACACGCCATGCAAATCGTAGCATTCCGGGATGGCATTAGCCTCTCGTATCCCCTGGTAACCACGATATTGATGGCCACTCATGTAACGCATGAGGACAGTTTCGTACTGGTCGTCCCGATGGTGGGCAAAGAATAAACTGGTGGCATTGAGATAGCGGCAAGTCGACCCAAGCATGCGGTACCGCTTTGTCCGCGCAACGCTCTCAATGTTTGGGAGGCTACTCGGATCTTGGCCATGTCGACTTACATCCTTCCAGTTGAGAGGCTTTGTGACTGCTTTGAGACCTAGCTTCTTGAGCTCCTGTGCCACCTCGGCTGCCTCGAGCGTGCTCTCTGGCCTCAACCTATGATCAACAATGACGCCAAAGGCACCTTCGGTCGGATTGTCTGCAATTTTGATACCTCTGTGTGTTCTTATGAGGTTGGAGAAGAGGAAGGCCATGGCCATGGAGTCCACACCGCCGCTGATGGCGAGGGCTGCCAAAGACCAGTTAGCATTTCATGTTTGGCCACGTTTGGAGCAAGATGGCATACCAACTCGCCGCGGTCGTGCATATCGAACCGCTGGGAAGCGTGGAGGACAGACGGCCTCAACGGCATCCCGAAACTCCGTCAAGGAGATGGGCTTGGCGCCATGATGAAGGACGCGAGTCGGAACGCTCATTCCATCGCAGGTTGCAATTGTGAAATGTGGGTAGCATTGGAAGTTTCCGAGTCACAGCTATTTGACAGCCGGATTCTGTTGACAAAGTTTGGTCAGTGCGGCCTCGCCAGGCCAGATGTGAGGCTGCAAGGCATCACTCGAAAGCTATGATGTAGGAGGTTGCGCGGTTGGTGGTTGGAAGTCGAACGTCGCGGGTCATACCATTGGGACCTTGTAGGTGGGGCCAGCCAGAGTGGGACCATGCCCCGAATATGTCAAGCTAAAAACGACGGAGTAGCTTAAACTCTGGATATCAGTTGACCAGTCTTTGCAGTCCTCCTAGTCAACGTCAGCTGAATGGCACATGCCTCGGCCACGCCTTGTTAAGATGCAGGGTCAGGTGTAAGCTGTCACAAGGGGTAAGATACATCATATGGCGGACGGTGAGGCGCGTGTGTTGGCATTGGATGAGACGATAATATTCGAGAGCCAAGGAAATTCTCTCAGTATCCTCCTTTTTCTCTCGTCCGCTGCACCTCTGAAACCGTCGGGTGGTTGTCACTGTAAAAGCCATGCTCAACGTTTATTCTCGTCCACACTTCCGTGAGGCCTCACAAGCAAAGCGAATCTGACTGCATCCATTCATTGGCCACCAGACAACAGGCACTTGCAGCAGCTTGCAGCGGCAGACAGGCCAAGCAAAGACTGTGGGCCAGTAGATGCGCGGCCCCGTTGCTGTGGCAAAAGGAGCTGAAGGAGCCAAAGGGAACAAAAAGGGGGAGGAAACGGCTGACTGAATGAAACCATCACGACTGTGGTCAGCAAGTGTCGACGGCAGTTGCCTTGCCTGGCCGCTCGCCGCTCAGTCTCCATCGCTCCTGCCAGCAGCTCGCGACTACAGCGTACTCCAGAGCCCAGCAGCCTGGCTCGGTCCTTCCTTCCTTGCCCATCCAGACGACCTAGTAATTAGTTACCCGTTATGTTATTCCATGTTCCCTGTTTGGGACCACGAGGGCAGTCTTTTCTGCTTCTTCCTCCCAACTTTTGCCATGATGGCTATGGCTGCACCCAGTCCGCCATCTGTGGGCCTTGCGCTGTTTGGCTGCCGCAGCTTTGCACTTGGACGAGCATCAAGCGCGCATCAAGCGTGCATCAAGCTCCACGAGCACCTCAAAGCCGGTTGGTGCCGGTCATACTGATTGATGCTCGTTGCCCCGACAGGATCAAACTCCAACCGACCATTCGACATCCATTCGACATCCATTCGCCATCCAGCGACCATACACCACCGCACACCACTCGCCCTACACGCGCATACACACAAGAGGCAGACGCAGGACGCGAGCCTTCCGCCACCCAAGACACGGGGCTCACATGTCGCTTGATTTTGTTCGCAAACCGGCGTGTTGTCTAGCTCCCCCGCTTGGAGCATCGCAGCTTTGCAATTTCTACCCACCTCGGAACTCAGTCCAGCCTTTGCTGTTGTCCCTTTCGCAAGCACCGGCATCGTCGTTTTGCCGTTACAGACGCCTGTGCAACCATCGAGCTTGGCCTGGCTTCATTTCGCAACCGCCGTCGGTTCATCCCTCCATCGCATGCGTGAAGGTTTCCGCAGACCAAAGTGCGCCCACTGCTCCATCTTCATGCTGGCTGTCATGATCACACGACGACGCCGAGCGCGACTCCCCTAAGTAGTTGATCTCTTGGACTTTTCGCAAACACGACCACATACAGATACAGTCGCCAGTCGCCGCTCATGGTGTCCCAACCAGATCAGCCCTCTTCAGGCTCTAACACAGCTTCCAACGTCTCATCACGTCGTGGACACCAGCACTCTGCATCTGTCGTCTCGCGGCCATCGCTCTCCCGCACCAAGCGATACAACCGTTCACACACCGGCGGTCGTTCCTATGTTCCTCAGAATGAGTTTCCGGTTTTTGCGCACAGCGGTGATGTCGAGATTCTCATCCGCGTCGGGGCAGGTGCTGATACCACTACGCAACGCTACCTCTTACACCGGCACACCTTGACAAGGTGTAGTGGATTCTTTGAAGCGAGCACTTCAATGGAGTGGTCCAAGGCGCGACCACTGCTGGCGGGGGGTAATGAACTGGCCCGTATCGGTGAGGAGCCGCCGTCCACCTTGGACAGTAGTGACTCGGACCGGTTTGCTGTTGGTGGTGTTCCGGGATCTGGTGCTTCAACCCCAAGAAAGAGGTGGAGGTATGAACTCGACACTGGTGCTGGCGAGGGCGATATTCCCATGTTGGTACAAAAGGAAGAGACAACACCATCAGCAGACTCTCATCCATCATTTTCTTCACTATTCGGCTCGGCTTCTGGGTCCAACACCAAGTCCGCTTCACGATCAAAACATGGCCCGCCCACCACCAACCATGTCTCCTTCTCGCGCTCTGTTGCCAACCTGGCGGTGACTCCTAGCATGTCCCAAGAAGAGGAAGACCTCCTACGCGACTACGATAATCTGTTTCGCATATTTTACAACTACTCTCCCATGTTGGATGGCGTCAATGTCGCAGATGCCTATGTCCAGTGCAAGTCACTCCTCGCTCTCGCTGATCAGTACGACGCTCTGGCTGTGGTCGGGCCTCGGGTCGACCACCACTTGCTTCAATTCCAATCCCGGCTATGGAAGCAAATCGCGAAATACCCGATTTCGTACCTGCGCCTGGGGTATCTTGCTCGAAGCAAGGTCATCTTTCAGGAGGCCCTCATTCATGTTGTCGGCCAATGGCCGGTGGGGGAGCGCAGTATTCGTGCTGCGCTTCCTGATGTTGTTCTCGACATCATCGAGGACAAAGTAGACGAGCTCGAAGAAATCATCAGCCGAGTAGAAGGGCGTCTCTTTCGGCTCACTCTCACCGGTGCAAAAGGAGAGCGTGTCACTCCTGGGAGCAACTACCTCGATTGGCTCGTCGTGAGTCTCTTCCGTCAGTGGCTTGCAGACAATACATCTCCTCAGCCATCACCTGAACGGCATGGCAACAGCCGAAGCAGCAACCGCCCTCCCGCTCCACCGCCGCCGGTCCCACCACTGACCTCTATTGGGCGGGCCTATCGAACCCTGGGGTCCGGAAACCCAAGCACATTTCTTAACCACGAGGACTGCAAGAAGTTCTTGAAACTCACCCCGGAGCTGTATCGTCGCGACAACCTACGCCGGTTCGAGAAACGCATGGATGAAATGAAGGCCATGGCACGAGACCTCGTTCGTCCCCTTCTTGGAAGTGGGCTAGAGCTCGACTTGGCCGGCCCGAGCAGGACCTCTGAGGGGATAAGCTACCTGACTTGCACGGCTGTAGGCAACCGTGATCTCCCATGGCCTGCAGAAGGATAATTCCAGCGTCGCTATCGCTAGTCAGATGCCCAGATCAACTGCTGTCCTTTTCCTTCTCCCCCCCTCCCCTTATTTTCTTTAGGTTCTTGCATTTGCTGTTGTTATTTTTCCCATTCTTGGGTAGCCAGCATCTCTATATCCAAACCTAACGACAGATATATATATCATCAGCATGAAAATAGTGTAACCAGCTGCCCTGGTGGCACATTTGTTACATACGCCATAATTACTTACCAGGATACCCTTTCAAGGCTGAATCTCTGCTTCCCTTTTTTTACATTATTATTCGTGTCACTTTAGCAATGTCTGTATATGTACATAGAGGGCTGTGCCTGCATTGGGTTGCAAAGCTGCGAATACGAAATATGAATATGATGATGAATATGCTGCATAACTATAGTATAATTGGCCACAAATAGCAGTATAATTTCTTGTTTCAGGAGCGGTGTCAGTCTCGGAGATGATCCGCTGCCAGTGATTAGGCGATGTGCCCACGTTAATGTCCGAGATGGCAATACGTTGGTCATGACGTAGTCGCAGCTTGCAATTCTCCAAGACGGATTTGGATTCACATAAGGTACAAGTCTTGCGAGTTTTTAAGATGCTAGGTACCTAGGTATTCAACACAATCCCATAGCCGACACCAAAACTCCTAAATTCCCACGCTTGCCACATCATCGTGTATACAGCTGTACCTACGCGCTGTAACAATTTCCGTATCAAATTTCCATTCATATTACTTCAAGTCTTGACCGTGATTCTTTTTTGAACTTACTCCTCGCCAACCTGCAGCTGCACATCGCCAGACATGGTACCCATCTTGATAAAGGACGCACCATCACCTTTTTCGCCTTCTACAAATTTTCCGAAGCCACGGCTTCGTCGAGTAATTCTGACATCTTTACCGGACACAAAAATATCTCCAGACATGCTCTCGGCGCGGAATTTGCCCACCCAAGTAGCGGGATAGTGAAGGTTGAAATCACCACTAATGGAAGAATGCTTGGTATCAAAGTTGTAGAGAACTGGGCGACCGGTTTTGCGAATTTCAAAGTCTTTCGCATGGGACTTGGCGTTGTCAGGCAGCTCAATTGCCACTGCTTCATAAATATTGACGTTAGTCGATCCGCTCTTGGTGTCAGTGCTGAAGCTCGTCTTATCGGAGCTCTTGGTGAGCAAGGGCAGCACATTGAGAGTCAGGTCGCCAGAAACAGATCCAATTTTGGCGGAAGAAGTCATGACAACGTCGGCGGTGATGCCTCCGGATGTCGTACCAATCTCGACCTGATACTCGCGGGGTGGAATCTTCTTTCCGAGCTTTCCGCTCCTGAGACTAGATGCCAACGGCTCCTCTAGTCTGACTTCCCCAGAGATTGATTCAACCTTGAGCGTGGCTTCGCTGGCGGATTTCTTGTCAGCAGCCTTGGGGACGACTTGAGCCTCGACATCTCCAGAAGAAGACTTGACCTGAAGAAGATCGTAGAGAGGGAACCAGCCTTTAATGCTGCCACTGACAGTCTCAATGATGATTCGTCGCGATTGGACCGAGTATGGCGCGACGTCGTCGTCGATATTATTGGCACGGGGAGCAATGACGTCGCCAACAACAGTTTTAATGGTGGGACCGTCCACAATGCCCATAACAAGGCCCTCGACAATGTCAACGTCAAGATGAACAAGGTCAAGTTTAAGGTTATCAAGATAAGCATTGTGAGGCACATAAACAGTGACACGCATTTGAATGCAAGGAGTAGGACCTGAGTAGTCCCACCAGTCAAGGGCCCGGGGAGAGATAATTTCGATAGATTGATGGCCATTGTCCACGTGAATCTCGGTACTGGGTCTTAGCCTCTCATCATTAGAGACGATCTCAATCTCGACACCGCCTCCTGATTCTTTCGTTGGGCGAAGTAAGAGTTGTCCAGAAACATTAGGCTGACGACCTCTCTTGTAGCGGTTTCTCTCCGGTCTCTGCACAATGTCCAAAGAAAAGCCGCTGCCGTACTGAAGCGATGTAATGGACTTGTCAAATTTGTGAGGCGTGTTTCTGCAGGAACCATGGGGCCGCCACTCAAGGTCACGTTCGCCACCCATGCTTGGTTCTTTGACTGGGTCGCTGTCGATAATTTTAGGGATCTGGAGACGGACAAATTAGCCAGTTAGCAAGGCAATGATGTAATATCGGGTAAATGTGGTAGGATCTGAGACGGATGATGTCTAAATGTAGTTGTGTAGGTGATTTGTGTTTCGTTGCGTGGGTGTGGATGTGTTTGTATGTATTTGTGTTCGGGAATAAGTAAGGGTTTGGCAAAGTAAAAGTTGGGTATTGTATGTGAACGCAAATTTAATAGCATCTCCCATATCGCTGCATTCACAACTGAAATACGACTGAATGGCCGTGTGAAAGGGTTGGACAGCGCAGGATATTGCGACATGATGCTCATGTTTTACTTACTTTGGGATGCCGAGGTCCGCCGCTGCTCAAGGATATGCCTCCAAAGATGGCAAAGAAAATAGATAGGACGACCGCAATGCCAAGAAGTGTTCGAATATTCTTTCTGGTGTTGGGAGAATGAACAGCGTTATTAACTCGCTGCCATCGAGAGGCAGGAGGGCCATTGGGCGAGCCACCCATAGACTCAGGCTGACGAGGCAGCAGTGCCTGATGTTCTTCAGGGATGCCCATTGTGCCCTGATTGATGCCCTGGTTGTCGTTGCTGCTACCGGATGAGGGAGGTGCAAATGTCTGATAGCCCTGGGAATGGCCAGCCGAAGGTGATGATGGGGAGGGTGTGTAGGCAGGTGGCGCGTCCAAATAGTTCTGATGATGCGTCTGAGACCGAGGCGTGGGGTGATTTAAGGAAGTTGACGTTGCTGAAGCTGCTGTCTCGGAGGGAGTGTGAGAATAGGGGAGGCGGGTACTGTGGCCGGTGAAGAGAAGGGGGCCGTCTCCTTCGACGCTACGCCTGTGATGATGATGGGTGGGCGAGGTGACGAATGTAGGGCTAGCTGGCGTAGCTGATGTCGTATGGTTATTGCCTATGTACGTGGCCGAGGAGGTAGACGCACCACGGTGCATTCCTTGCGATATGACGTTGCTTCCCATGTGTGGTGTGAAGGCTGCTTCAGGCGAGGCCTGACTGGCGCCGTTACTTATCCAGCGCTCCTCTTCGGCCTCCTTTGCCTTACCATGCCGCAAGGTGGGATCTTCAACAAGGACATTGGGCACGACAGGTGCATTGGATGATGTGCGTTGCGGTTGCTGTAGCTGGTGATGCTGCTGTCGTGTCGCAGCGGGATACTGCTGGTAATGGTCAGGGACATGATGAGAAGATGACGCCGCGCCCGAGGATTCCGACGCGTGGAAGTAGCCGTCAGCGGGTGACAAGGCTTCATCACGGTTCTCATGGTCGTCACCAGCAACGGAGGCGGCGTCGTGACCCATGTCAGAGTACATGTTGTCAGCGTACGGAGCCGGCATGTTGTGGAATGTGTAGTTGCTTGCAGCTCAGATCAGGTCCGGCCATGCCAGTCCCAGTGGCAGGCCACTCGAAGTTTGTTCGGGCACGGGATGAGGACAAAAAAGGAGCAAAATTGCCCTCGTACGTTGTCGACTAATGCAGCGGGAAGAAGGGAAAGGATTCGGGGGGGGGGGGGGGGGGGGGGGG